TTTTGTGTTTGTGTTTGCAAAATGTCGCGGTAAGCAAGAGTCGCCACCGACTTTTATTTTATCCAACTGGAAAGGAAAAAAAGCACAAAAAATCCTTTTTCGAGATTTTGAGTACGGGGGTAGATTATAGAAAGGGAAGGTGTTAGCACCCTTTCTATCCGTAGTTTTCTACGGGCTCTTAGGTACTTGCTCATCTTTTTGAAATTGCTTGTGTGTGTTTGTTTTGAAAAGTTGTGTTTTACTTTGTTTTAACCCTTGTTTCTGTCTTCAAGAGTGTTACGAAGTGTTTTTGAAAACTTTGTTTGAAAAGTGTTGGTGTGAAAAAGTTTTTGTTTGTTTGAGCAAGTACTTAAGAACTAATCTACCCACTCGAAAAAAGTCTGTTCGTTTTCCTTTTAGACAATGCTATTCCATTATTGAGAAATAGGTAGCATCGTCGTTGGAGTCGTAAGGGTCAATTCGAAATGCACGTACGATCACTGAAGAAATGCTAGGACGTTTTAGTAATAACCCTAATGTCTTAAGATCATATTCGAGGCAACATTTTCGAGGCAACCTTTTCGAGGCAACATTTTTGAACGGGAAATTTGATCTTTGTTTAGACAAGAGGGAAACCACTAAGACATCCTATACTTAATGATCGTTTACCAAAGGCAACCGAAGTGTGAGTATACCCTAGGAGTGCGCATGTGCGAGTGATTTGTTTTCAGTTATTATCTTTGCACATTAGGGTTTTCTAGCCATTTTAAATTATCACGCAATCTTGTCATACAATCCTATTAACATACATCTAAACAATTAATATTTTGCGAGAATTAAAATGCGAGAAAATAAAATTAAGCTATTACAAGGCTTCGGGGAGGGGGATTAATTACATAGCCAAAAAAAACCGCAAAACGATAAATAAAGAAAGTCCTAATTAAACTATTACATACCGTGAGAAGTTACATTTATATTGCAAAAAATAATAAGCGCGGGCAATGAAACGAAAACGAGAGAATTAGGGTTTTGACCCCGACTAAACCTAATTAAAAGAAAAATCTTTTTTTTTGTGTTTTTGATTATTTTGAGAAAATAAGATTTTAATTGAATAAATAAAAAAACCTAATTACTAATTAATTTAAAATGTAAGAAAAATAATTAAAAATCAACCTATTTTTGTATTTTTATTTTATTGAGAAAAGAAATAAAAATTAAATCACATGCTAATCCTAATTTTTTCTAATTTGTTTTTAAATATATGAAAAAAGTTAGAATCAATTCTAAATTAAATTAGACTAATATTAAATTAAATTAGGTAAAATAAAATAAAACCTAATTCTAAATTTGTGAAAATTGATTTTATGATTTTTTTTGTGAAAAAAGAAATTAATTTAGGTTAGAAAATAATTTAAACAAAATAATAAATAAAACAAATAATTAGAAAAGAAAAAGAAAAGGGTCTGATTTTGTAGCAAAAGGGGGGTATGACTTGTAAATTTGAGCCCAATAAACTCTGGCCCTTGTTGACTTTGCCAATCCTATGCATGTGTTTGACTGAGGTGTATTGTGGACCCTCATGGATAAGGCGTTAAATATGCAGCCTTGATGATCTGATGGCGGATTATTGATGATGCACGGTGGACTTATTGTATACCCGGGTACCTGATCATGCCAGAAAAAATAATAGAAAGCAAAGTTGGGGACCTGGGGATCGAACCCAGGTCCTTGAACATTCGTCGACTACGCGCTTGCCAGCTGAGCTGGTTGTATTAGTTGTACAAAAGATAACAAATCAATATTATATGATAAAACAATAAAACAAATTCTGAAGTGCGCGAATTTCGAATTGGCTAGTCACCACCCGCCACGCCATCATTTTCCTCCTTGCTTCTGCCATTTTAGGCAAAAGACTTTTACCTACGGACACTGGGCGTAGGTACAACCCTTGTCCACTCCAAAATCTTGTCCCTGCATGATAAATAATAACCAGTGGTACCAATCAACTCGTTGCAACCTCACGAGCATCATGGTACCACTATCCAGGCCTAATTGTACCTGTACACAAAAACCCTAAAAACGAAGCAAGAACCCTAACTATGGCATATTGATATACAGTCAATGAAAATGCAATTAATCATAACCATTAGCTTGCAAATAACTCAAGGATCAAGAATATGCTAGCAAATCATGTTAAAGATGCCAGAATGATTGTATTCGATTTCAAGAAAATAGGGAAGCCGTGTGACACTTACATCACGATTCTGGAGGTTAGGAAGCTTGCTAGTGGTTGAATCTTGATCCTTGGACGTCCAACAATTGATTGGGATGGTTATAATGCTTTGAATTGACCTGAAAAGTGGAAATCAGTTTGCCATTTTTCTTGATTTTTTTGCAACTTGCTCTCTCTTTTACATGCCTCCAATCTCTTTGTTTCTGATCTGCAAATGTTCCTTATGTATCCTAGAACGAATTAGGGTTGCAAACTTGTATCAAATCTTTTCCAATTAAGATCATTGATTCATGATTTGATCCTTTGTGCAAATCTTTCCAAATCAAGCAAAATGCAATCTTTTTGTGTCCAACTGAACCTTGCACGATTTGATTCCATCTCCAGCTGTATAATAGACCTAAACATGCACAAAATCTCAAGCTTTGATTAGTTTTTGATATTTTCATTATTTTATTTTGATTTTATTTGATTTTATTGAAATAAAATCAAAATAAATGACAAAAATAAAATAATGACAAATGAGAAGGCTCATGGGTCGTGGGTCACATTACAAACTCAGTGCAAGCATTAAAAGTTTGGCCCATTTGACAAAAATTGCAATTTGGGACATATTTGACATTTGGCAATTTTACAAAAAAGGTCAACTTTTCCAATGCATAACTCCTTCAATTTTGACCCTAGAGAGATGTTCTTTGACTTTTTAGAAAGCTTAATATGTCCTCTAAACAACTCTTTTTGTATCATCTCAATTGAATATTCCATGTTCATGTATGAAGCTTTGACATAAAAGGGTTTTTTGTTGACTTTCCAAAATGACCTATAATGTCCAAATTCATATCTTCTTGTGAGTGCCTATTTTGAACTTGGGAGCTGAAGATGAATTGTATGGAATTGCATCCTTTTCAAAATGAGCTTTGTAAGGTTCATTTTTGATAAAGTATGAGAAAGTTATGCTTGGTCAAAGTTGAGTTGACTTTTCCTATAAAACCCTAATTTAGCAACTTTTGGGTTTGATGAATTGTGAGTAATCCTTGAGGAATCATGATCAACCCTTGATCAAATGATGAATAATAATTCAAAATGAGAATGTTGACCAAAAATCTTGAAGTTTTACTGTATGTTAGCCACAATTGACTTTTGCCCTAGCACAGTCGATTTTCAGGCCTTTGAACAATTGACTGAGCAAACTTCCTCTGCAAGGCTTGAAACTTGACATGAATGATCTTGTGAACATATTAGGGCAATGGTGAGTATTTGGGGCCCTTTGGATCCAAACATCTTGATTCAAAATGAAACCCTAATTTGAGGTAGACTGCCTTAGGAGAGAGTTTGTCTCGTCAACTCTTGGACTTCCTTGAGCAATTTGAGGACCTCACTAGAAATCTGTTGAGAAATATGGGAGGGAAAATTTTGGGGTGAAACACCAAGGCCCTATGAATCTTTGAGGAGTATTTCGTCTGGTTTAATGAGGCAACTATCAAGGTCACCCACCCCAACCAGGAGATGTTCATGGGAGAATTCCAAATTGGACTAAGGGCAGGGCAGTTACACAAATTCCTAGCCTCGAGGCCAATAACTTGTTTGGAGAAGGTGGTGACACATGTAAAATGCTATACAAAGGGAAATGAGAGAAACGCCATAAATAAGGCCATAAACATTAAAGAACGAATGATTGTAAACCCTACTAACTTGTAGCATACATGTAAGAATCATTACACCTCACCATTAGAGACATGGAGACATTCAAATGAAGCGGGAAACCTATAAAGATATTAACACCGTTAAACACTCGCAATGAGAAAATATATGTTGAAACACTTTTGATAAGATATGTATTTGCTTTATCGTTTCCATAGGGATTAATATGATATTACCTCAGTTCTACAGTTGATATTGTTTTGAGTAAGGGTTTATAAAAGTTTCTAGTACCAAAAAGTTTTGATTGCATGAAAATGAGAAAACAACGATAAAAAGTTTTGGTTTTACGGATTAAAAAACATGTCAAGATTAATTTTCATTAACCTATTTCATACATATTTGATTAATGAAGCATATGAACTTATTAATGATCAATATAATCACGTATATTTTCAATACCATTTATGTCTAAACAATATTGTGAGTGTTATCATGATAATTACTAGATGATGTCTCATACCAACATTAAACACAATAATATTTAGAGCTTGATACAAGTGAATATCAACTCAAAAATCTATGTCTAGAGTTTGTTCATTTATATATGAATATCTTAGGTCAAGGTTTGAAACATACTTTTCAATAATGATCCAAATCATATAAAGAACAATAAAAGCAAAGATATTCACCATATATTTATCATCAACCATGTTCATACACAAAGGATCAAAAGAAATACATAATAGATAGGTTAACTACCTAATACTGACACAAAAGGTGTTTAGTTATCCATAGACATTGTAGCTTCTATAACAAGGAAAATGAGATGATGATCAAGCATCAACGATTATTTCTTAACTATTGATGTAGAATCAACTTTGATTCTTCACTTCTATAATGATTTGCTCTCCTAAATATGTTGTGTTCCCCAAAATATCTGATTAAAAGTATAAGAAGAGTGGGCAAAAGTGGCAAGTCGGGCTTAGCTCGTTCTTGCACGCTAAGCATGCTCTCACTTAAAACTTAAACCTCCTTAAAGCGCGCTAAGTGCTCTCCACTGGACTTAGCTCCAAAGTCTATGTCCAGACTTCCTTCACTGCATTGTGACTGCTCTTAGTCTTCCCTGTAGCATGTTTTTCTTCTTCCAAAATTACTTGCAAACCATCTCTAAGCCCTTCAATGGTCCAAGTTCCAACCAAATGCATAAACCTACAAAATTTAGAGAAAGATTTATTAACTATAAACTATTCACTCCATTAAATCAAAATACAATTATTTACATAGAAGAAAGGTGAAATACAAGAATATGTGATAAATAGAATCGAAAAGAACCAATAAACTATACTAAATATTAACACATTTTGGAACCTAACAACTCTCCCCAACTTGATTCTTTGTTTTTCCTCAAACAAAAATAAAACTCAACAAGAAACAAGATGAATTTTTTAGACAAAGTTAACCAGATAAAAAATTCATGGTTCAAACTCAACTGACGCATGCAAACAAGTAATTACCAATTGCTTTCTCAAAACCAAAACATGGTTATGAATTAAGTTCTAAACACAAAACATCAAACAATGCAAACTCAATAAATATCATGCTCATACTTGAATCACCTAACTCTCAATTCAACAATGTCATGAAGAACTATGCACAACTTTGCACAGGACAAAACACTCTCGCTAGCAATCGTGCAAAAATCCAGCATAATTCACGCATTCATCTAAACAAACAAAGAGAACATTATGGAAATAAAGATCACTAAAGAATTTCCAAGTGGTAGTTTCGCTTGGATTAACAACAAATGATAATATATATATATATATATATATATATATATATATATATATATATATATATATATATATATATATATATATATATATATATATATATATATATATATATATATATATATATATATATATATATATATATATATATATATATATATATATATATATATATATATATATATATATATATATATATATATAAGGCCATTGAAGAAAAAACGGGTAAAGATTTATGAAGATAATTTCAACTTTGCACAACTTTCATTATTTCTGAATCCTCAAATTATTTTCCATCCTTTGCCACTGGAATGCCTCAGCTGCAGGAGCCTCCTCCCTAGGGGTACAAAAATGATCAATAATTTTCATTAATCGTACCTTTGATAACCTGATGACCTTCAATAGGAATTGGCACCCTAGCCTTCTTACAAAGACCCATAATCATCCTAGGATATGTCAATTGACATGAAGTTTGATCACCATGTCTTGTACCACTCAGGGAAACCCTTTTCAGCTTATTAGCAATACGGCGAGCAACATCGACAAATTTACCCTCAAGGATGTAATACAGAAGGCAAACAGTTTCCACTGGAATGGAAGACACGTGGCTATGTATCCTGATGTTATAAAGAACCACAAACATAAGCACCCGAGGCATTTTTTTCAAGCTCTTCAAGATAAACTTCAAGGGTATCCCCACAACAATTAACTCGTAACTATGTCCAAGTGACACAAACTTGTTTTTTACAAGTTCAAAATCCCACTTACCCCTTTCCAACTTCTTATGGTACTCACATAGCTCGCCATCCTCCATAGGCAGAGGGTTACCTAGATATTCACTAATTATGTCTCTTGAAAAGGAAATTTCTTTCCCTCTCACCCATGTCTTGAAACCGTAAGGCCTACCCTTCGGGAAATCCTCATTTGGAAATGCGTTTGCATAAAAATCTCGAACAATTTCCAAATTCAATTTGGGTGAAGTTTCACAAAGCTTCTGCCAATTCCTATCTTCAATTATTTTCCACCAAGACTGTGAACCCCATCTTCTATAATTCTCACAAATATTTCCAAACAAAATTTTCTTTGCTCTAAAGAATGGTACTTTTCCTCTTGTAGTGGCCCCAAGAATTTGTTTTTGTTATAAGGACCAACATGCCTTCGTGAAGAAATTTCTACACCAGTTGTTTTCTGTTTCTTGTTGCCAAAAAAGTTAGGCCTCGTCTGCAAAAACGAGCAAATTCACAAAAACCAGCACAAAAATGTCAACACAAAAATTATTTTCTAACAAAATCAATGGTAAGAAGTCCCTACAACCATCAAAACTCAGCTTGAATAATACAAAACAGAGGAAAAAAATTTGCACGTCTAAGGGCGCGCTTAGCCTGCTATATGATTTGTAGAAAAATCACCTCTGCACATACAACTTAACATGCACAATTCTAATCATATTCTACCCTTAATAACATTATCCTTTTTTTCACAATAACACTAATAACCAGTTGCATATTATCCTAACTTAATTATATGAGCAACTAACCCTAAATTCCCAATTCTAACATGCATATCAAATTTCAAGGTAAAAAAACGAAATTAAGACATAACATACCTTTGCAGTGATGATTGACACAAGAAAACACAAAGATTTACTGAAAAATAGAAATGGGTGGTGATGATTTTGAACTTCTGAGAAAAAAGTGAGAAAGAGCACTTAGGGTTTTGAGAAAAGGCACAAAATGAAATTTGTTTTACCTTACTCAATCACACATTTGCCCAAAAGAGGCATTTTGAGCCTTGGGTCAGGAAACTGGGCCCTGGTGAAAAGTTATATATTTTTTTACTTTAGATTGTGCTTAGCCCATAATCTTACACTAAGCGCGAAGCTCTCTGCCAATTTTTTTGTTTAAATCCCATGGTAAGCGGGCACAAACCACGCTTAGCCCGCTTTGCAGAACTCAAGTTTTACAGTTCTTGCACAGCTGCTCATACGAGACCCGATTAAATATGACCGAAACACTATTATAACTAAAAAATAGTAAAAACTCATAAAATTGGGGTGCCTCCCAATAAGATATTTATTTAACGTGTTTTCATCTCGACCGTCAAAGTTGACTTCAAAGATCGGCAAAAGGGATTCTTGTTATTCCCTGATCAAATTTCCCACCTATTTACAATTTAAGCCTCTGACCATTCACGGTCCATGAATTTTTAGAAATTGGATCTTCCACTTCCATTGATCCATAACTTCTTACCTCCTTGATTCGAAACGGAACCGATAACTTCAATTTTAATTTTTTGGGAAATAACCTCAACCGAGAGTTGAGCAACAACACCATCTGACCAACTTCAAAATGCTTTGGACTGATTTTCTTGTCATGGTACCTCTTGAATCTCTCTTTGTAGAGCTTTAAGGACTCATAGGAATGCAACTGCAATTCATCCAATCATTCAATTACTCTTTCCTTTTCATCCCAGATTAATTTTGATCAAAGTTCAAAAATTTCAAGGCCCAAAATGCTTTATGTTCAAGCTCTACCAGAAGATGGCATGCTTTCTAAAAAACCATATGGAGCGGAGTCAGAACAATTGAAGGCTTGAATTCCATACTATATACACAAAGAGCTTCGTCCAGTTTCAAATACCAATCCTTTCTAAAAGTTGACATTGTTTTCTCTAGAATCCTTTTCACTTCCCAGTTTGACACTTCGACTTTGCCATTTGTTTAAGGGTGATACGGTGTTGCAACCTTGTGCTTGGCAACATAATGCTCTAAAGCTAGTTCCAACTGAGAATTGCAAAAATGTGAACCTTTATCATTGATTAAAACCCTTTGAGTACTAAAATGGGTGAAAATATGTTTCTTGAGGAATTTAATCACCGTCTTGGCATTCGCCTTCTGAGATGCGATATCTTTTGGACACATAATCTACCGCAACCAGGATGTAGTCGTTAGAAAATGATGAAGGGAAAAGGCCAATGACGTCTATACCACAACAATCAAATACCTCAACTTCAAGCAAGTTTTGAAGAGGAATTTCATTTCTTTATGATATTACCTCATTCTTTGACAGTTGCCACATCTTCTTGTATGTTCAAGCGACTCTTTAAACACTGATGGCCAATAAAATCCTAAATGTAGCACCTTTGCAGCCGTAATTTGACCACTATAAGGTCCACCATATGGTGAATCGTGATAATTCCATAAAATTATATTTGATTCTTCTTTTGTCACACACCTTTTAAACAAATTATCCGTCCTTAACTTGAATAAGTATGGGTCATCCCAAATAATGTAGTTTGCATTTTGGAAAAACTTTTTCTTTTGTTTTCCATTAAAATCTTTAGCTATCAACCCCGCTGATTTAAAATTTGCTTTGTCTCCAAACCAATGTCTTTCCTAAATCATCATTAATTGTCATCTGAAAATTCTTCAAGAACCTCTTTTTCAAATTTGGTCTCCTCATGGTTCACAAGCCTAGACAAATGATCCGCCACCAAGTTTTATGTTCCTTTTTTATTGTGGAATTCAAGATCGAACTCTAGGAGTAATAGATTCCATATAATAAGCATTTGTTTTCAATCAGGCTTGGTGAGCAAATATTTGATAGCTGCATGGTTAGTAAAATAACAATTTTCGAACTAATAATATAAGAAGAAATTTTACTAATGCAAATACAATTGCAAGCAATTATTTTTCTGTTGTTGAATAATTCATTTATGCATCATTTAAAACCTTGCTTGCATAGTTTATTGCATGAAAAACTTTGTTCTTTATTTGTCCTAATACTACTCCCACGTATAATCACTTGCATCACACATAAGTTCAAAATCAAGTGTGCAATTTGGTGCAATGATTATGGGAGAACTAATAAACTTTTCTTTCAAATTCTCCAAAGAAAGTAAGCAATCATTATTGAAAAGAAATTACTTATCTTTGTAGATCATATTGCTCAAAGGCTTTGCAATTTTTGAGAAATCCTTGATGAGTCTCATATAAAAGCCGTCATGGCCAAGGAAACTCCGGATTCCTTTGACATTAGTTCGTGGGGGAAGCTTATGTATCATATCCACTTTGACTTTATCCACTTCAATCCCTTTTGATGAAATTTTGTGCCCAAGTACGATGCCTTCCATAACCATGAAATTACACTTCTCCTAATTCAAAACCAAATTTGTTTCCATACAACGCTTCAGTGCAGTGTCCAAGTTTCCCAAACACAATTCAAAAGATGCTCCAAAAACGGAGAAATCATCCCTGAGTACTTTTATTCTTATCAACTAAGTCGGAGAAAATGGCTTCCATATACCGTTGAAATGTGGATGGCGTATTACATAAGCCAAAAGGCATAAGTCGATACGCAAAAACACCGAAAGAACAAGTGAAAGCAGTTTTCCCATGGTCTTTAAGATTAACGGTAATTTAATTATAGTCGGAGTACCCATCCAAGAAGTAAAAGAATTGTTGTCCCGAAAATATCTCCAACATTTTATCCATGAAAGGTAAAGGAAAATTATCTTTCCTTGTTGCCTTAGTTAACCTTCGGTAATCATTACACATTCTCCATCTGGTAACGGTTCTTGTTAGAACCAGCTCATTTATGTCATTGGTTATTACCGTCATTCCTCCCTTCCTTGGATCTACTTGCACCAGACTAAGCCAAGCACTATCTGAGATAGGATAAATCATGTATGCATCTAATAACTTTACAACTTCATGTCGCACCACTTCCTTCATTACCGGATTTAAACGCCTTTGAGGTTGATCTACCAATTTGAATTCTTCTTCCATCATGATTTTGTGCATGCAATAAGCCGAGCTAATTCCTTTTAAATTAGACAAAACCAAACCTATATCCTTGTGATTATCCTTCAGAACTTGAATCAATTTAATTTCTTCCTTTTCAGATAAGGAATTACTAATGATCACCAGTTTATTTCCACCACTTTCAAGGAGTACGTATTTCAAATGAGAAAGTAACAACTTCAACTCAAGTTTTGAATCTTCTTCCTTCACTTCCTTTTTCAAAATTTCAACTTCTTCTTTCCAAAGTTGAACTTCTTCCAAAGACTCAAATTCTTTATAACATTCTTCAATTTCATTCTCTTTATTGGAAACAAGAACTTGAACTGCATTGGTTAAGGTTCTCTCAAGAGGTGTTGAAAGAAGAACTTGACTTGTAACATCCCAAATAGGTTCTTCGGTAGCATCAATTCTAAAGCAATCTTCTTTATCATTTGAGTGCTTTATTCCTTAAAAAAGATTAAAACACACTTCTCCATCTTTCACACAGACCTTCATCAAACCATTATCAATATCAGTCATCATTCTTGAGGTCTTCATGAATGGTCGGCCAAGAATCGAACAGGCATCATCATCCTCCTTCATATCAATCACAGCAAAATAAATGGGGAAGAAAAATTTATCCATCTTTACTAACACATCTTGAACTACACCGTAAGGACGGGTGGTGGATTTGTTAGCTAGTTGAAGTGTCATATTTGTCTCTATAATGTCAATGTTTCCAACCTTCTCACCATGAACAATGGAATTAAATTAATGCTTAAACCTAGATCCACCAGTGCTTTGTTAATATCCACATCACCAATTGTGACTGGTAATGTGACTCTTCCAGGATCATTATCCTTTCTTGGAATTGTTCGTTGAATAATGGAGCTTCAAAGAGCATCAAATTTAATAATTTCTTGATTCATATATCTCTCCTTCTTTAAGAGAATATCCTTCATTAATTTTTCACAAGTAGGCATTTGCTCCAAGGCTTCAGAAAATGGAATATTGATTTGCATGCGGATAAAAAT